GGGACTCTGTAGATTACTTTTATCAGAAACACTTGGATTTCTGCATTTAGGGATGAGATTTAGTCTGATGATGACGGGACCGTTTTTATAACTCCTCTGAATGGGGGGGTTCGGGTTGCAAACTGTAACTTGTACCATTTGCATAAAACCTTGTCCATCCATCTGAAAAACGGCGAGCATGTTTTAGCCACTCTACGTAACGTTCGTAGGGTGAACGTGCGTTAAGTGATGTGTCATGTTTTGTACGGCTGTCAGCAGTCCGCCCCTCAACCGCCGTCATGCGTCGCGGGAACGTTTTCTGTGTGATCCAGGGCGAGGCTTGTGCTGAAGGCGAAGCGTATGACAGCTAATGACGCGGTGGGGCTGCGCGTTTGACGTCGCTGTGCGAACGTTGAAAAGGCGGAGGGCGTGACTTCATTAACGCCGCGCTGTTGGAGTGAAGGCTGCTAGCCCCGCGGGAGCACACGTTTTTCTCTGGAGGGACGCGCGCCGCTCTCGCTGGAGGGGCGCGCGCTGGAGGGAGGCGGGACTCATTACCGGGTTCTTTCAGCTGCTTCACGTTTAAGCTGCAGTGAGCTGCCGAAAGCTGAGACGCGGTGGGTGACGGCTGCCCGCGTTTGATTCGTTGAGACGGGTGTTGTTTCTTGTGAGAGAGAAGGACCTCCACCCGAACCAGCCTGCGGACCACATTTATACCGATGTGAGCTGGTTAGCGCCGGCAGCTGTGTGTGTGCGCCAGCATCAACGCAGCGCCGTTGGATGGAGGCTGTTCATCTTAGTGATCGACTCGTCATGTCTAGAGCGGCGGTGAGTTAAAAAACCTTTAATTAAGGACACCGGCTCATGTGTGGAGGCTGTTCTGTGATCGACTCGTCATGTCTTAGAGCGACGGTGAGTTTAAAAACCTTATTTAAGGACACCGGCTCGTGTGTGGGGCTGTTTCATCCCACGAGTGCGAGTTGACATCGCTTGAGTGAAAATCGTGCAGCCCGGGATTATAACGAGTTATTTCACTTACCATCGTGCCCTGTAAGCGACTAGTAATGTCTTGGAGCGGCGGTGAATTTAAAAAAACCTTATAAGGACACCGGCTCTTAATGTGTGCGGCCGCTGTGAGCTCATCCGGCTTACAGGCTGGCTAAAAAACAGACACTTTGATCATTAATGATGATTTATTTCAACTTTCGTGTCACTTTTACACACACCCTCCGGAGACCGTCATTTTGAGAAACTTCTCTCTCATGAGCTCTGCGATTGTTTGCCCAGAGCGCTGTCTTGCAGGCGAACTCTGGGGAAACGCTGAGCTGCAGGTTGCCGGAGTGAAGAGGGCTGGATTCTGACGGGCGGGGCTGGTGGTGGAACTCAGCGAGAGCCGCGGCCGTGGAAAAGTCGAAGCTTGCTCGCGACGGTCCCTCCAGCGGGACGGGGTGGGCCGCGCGGCTTGATGAGGTGGCGCACAGCCTCTGGCACCTCCTCCGACTGTTTCAATTCGCCAGCATGGTTTGAAACTGCTCTGAACAACACGTCCGCGATGAGCTTCATCAGGTCTTGTGCAGTTTCTCCGGCAGCGAGGGGAGTAACGAAGCCAGGTGGATCGTTGGATCATCGTCATCCGCGCTGCAGTCCTCGACAGGCAAACCGTGGGAGAGGCACATATGTTGAGCTGGCGTCAGCTGCCTTACAGAGGGAGTTCTTTGTCTCCAAGGCAGGTCTGCGGCCTTCAGTCCCTCGGACATGCTATATGCTAGCAGCGCACGTTGTTGCTAACTGCGGCTGCCTGAAAATACATCGGTGGGCTCGATTGGAGAGCGTGGTCGCCGTCTGGTTCATGTTCCTCCGGAGGGACGGGACGCTGCTCCGACCTGGGCAGCTTCGCACCGGAAGCTTCCGCGAGGCTTGGCTCCAGGGGGGTTACCGAGGAATAGCCCCGCTCGGTGAATCCCTCAACTCTGGTGATGGGAGCGGACTGGGGACCGACTCCTCCAATCTACCAGGAAAGAACCGTCTGTGGCCTCGCCTGTCGAACGTCCTGTTGGAACGCGAGGCCGTATGGATCAAGACGGTGAGCCACAGTGGAGCCCAGTGAAAAACAACCTTCCCGCCGATCATCCGAACTGGCGAGAAAAGGTGAGGGACGTAGAAAAAAGGGGTCCCTTCATGTCAGCCTCCTCCTGGGTTCCGCCGGGCAACCGAGAGGGCGCTGTCGGCCGGGAGCGGTGTGATCGCCGATGCGAAACGAGGTGGGATGGGGTGAGCATTCACTCAGCCCCCCTCCACCTACACTACGCTCCCCAGGAGGGAATGAGCAGCGGGGGCTGCAGCTGAGCACGCCTTGCCCCGGAGGAACCATCCGGTTCGCCCCGAGGGTCGGCAATAAGAGGAAAAAATACAAGATGGCGTTGTCCAGCATGTAGTGACCTGTCACTGGGAAATGTTCCCCGACGCTTACCTTGGAATAAGACTGCTCGTCATCTTCTCCTCGGGGAGGAGAACTCACCGGACGACCGGAGGTCGACTGCCGGGCCAAGCATCCTACACAAAGGTTGGTCATTTACACAATTTATCCTCTTTGTTCTTCTGACAGTGCTATATTAGCTCGCTGAAGAAAAAATGGGAGCCGATTTCCCGCTCTTAACGTAATTTATACGGACCGGGTGGGGCCCACACAGCAGGTGGGCGTGGACTAAATTTTTTCAGTGCTTATGCTCTGCATAACGGGATAAACCCATCAGCGACAGCCTTAAAGGGCGAAGCCTATATGAAATAGAACTTATTTAATCAGCCTAACATGCATGTTTTTAGTTTGTGGGAGGAAACCGGACTACTTGGAGAAAGCCCACGCATGCTCAGAAACTCCACCCAGAAAGGCCTGCCGCCCACTATAGTCCTTGCTTGACAATTGGTTTCACTAAATCCTTTGTGTCTCTTAGAATATTTATCTAAACTTAAATAATTGATTGACCACGCCTCAGAATATTTTACAACCTGAGAATACAATCCTCCAATTCAAACCCTAAAACAGGGGTGCCCAATACGTCGATCACGATCTACTGCATCACAAAGATATATGGGTAGATCGCATGTCAAAAAAAAAATAGACATCAGCTTATCATCAGCCTCTCTATGAAATTTGTCACATGATTGACAAACAGGGCAGCCAGTCTGAGGCCGTGTTTCGGCCGTTCATGTACATGGCAACAGCCCTCGTTCTCTCTGAAGCCGAAGGTTACTGAATCCAGGTCTCTGAGTGGAGATTGTCGGGGGAACCCTCCACGGAGGCATGAAATGCTCTGCAATTGTGAAGTGGCGCATGTGCACTACATGCGGCTGCAGTCCAGAGTTTTTCTGCACTAACAACATTTATAATAAATGTCAGAGCAGAGTGCTTTTGTGCTACTCAGCCTTTTTCAGCATGTAGGAGCAAAACCAATACAATCCAGAGTCCAAAGAGACGTTAGTGTATTCATCAGTTTGAACATACTGTGATCATCCAGATGTTGCATGCGCAATGAATGCTGCTGAGCTCGGCATCAGGGTTGCCAGATAAATTTAAAATGTATTTACCCCTTCCTTTTCTGTGCACATGTTCAACAAACGCAACACACACCTCATCTTTGACTTGGTCATTTCAAAAGTAGCTCGCATGCTGAAAAAGTGTGGGCACCCCTGCCCTAAAATATATTGTATTTTGTGATGCTGAGTGAGAAGGGGCTCACTGCTGATGTGAAGCTTGAATAAGACGGGTCTTTCTTCTGCTGTTGCCAACAAGGAGGAGCAGTCAGAGTTAATGACTGCACCCATTAGTCCCATGTGCTGCTGTAACTAAAACATGCAACATATGTCATCATGGATGTTGTGGTGGTCGGAATGTTGTGACAAAAGAGGGTGATGTCAAATAGACATGTGCAAGTAAATTAAACATAAAGAACAGACTTAGTGATCCTGACAAAGACAGTACTTTATGTTTAAACCTCAGTAATGAGTTGCCATTAAACGTCTGTAAATCCAGCTCACTCAAGAATAAAGGTGCAACTTTAATTCAATTTTCTTTTCATACTCATTTGTAGTTTTAGCTTTTAGTTTTTAGCTCTTTAGTGTTGTTGTTTAAAGCACTACATTTTGAAAAATATTATTTTACTCTTGTTTATTGCAACTCTTCTATTATCGTGTAGTGAACCATATTTAAAAAATGTTGTGTTTTGTACCTTTTGCTCTTTTTTTCCTGTTAACGTGGGTTTGTGTATGATGATGTAATGAGAACACAGTATAATTTTAACATTTTAAACATAATCATGTATATATATATATATATATATATATATATATATATATATCAACATCTGTATATCTCTATGTAGCTCTATATATTTCTATATATCTCTATAAACTGTACCTCACTATATCTCTATATAGCTCTAAATAGCTCTGTATTGGGGTGCACCGATTGCAGTTTTCTGGCCTATCACCGATTTAAAATAAATTTAAAAAAAAATGTATATATATATATATATATATATATATATATATATATATATATACACACACACACATATATACACATGGAGTGAGGAGTGAGAGTGGTAGTGCATTGTTAGAGAAGGCAAGCCTGTGATCTGAAGGTCATAAGGTCGACCCCCAACACCAACATGTGGGTAGAAGAGGTGAAACACCCACAACTGCCTCCACCCTTATTTGCCCCACTCTGGGCCCTTGAACAAGGCCCTTAACCCCCACCATCTGCTGCTCTGGGTGTCCTAGGTATCAGCTCTCTGCTCCACACAGAGGGCTGTGGTAGCTCTGTGGTTGCATCAGGAAGGGCATTCCATGTGAAAACAATTTCCAAGACTCCATTCGAGTTAGTTCACTGTGACAACCCCTGAAGAAGAAAAAATAAATTATATATTTATGAATAAAGAGCACAATGTTTACCTGTGATCCAAACTATGAACTTTACCCAAATCACAACCCTTTTACATTCACATCTGTGTTTGCTTTGACAGACGTTGGATTTGAAATTCCCAACCTCTTTGTTGTTGGCTACGCCTTGGACTACAATGAATACTTCCGTGACCTGAATGTAAGTCCACAGTTTGCTGTGACTGCTGCACATCGTGTGACCTTTTGAAGAGCTTTAGAGAAAGAGATGAAAGCTGTAGAGTAAACACAGTAAATCAAAGGGATGCACTCCTCTCCATGAAACCTAAACTCACCAAACAGGTAACCTGTCTGAGGAGGTTTGACCGGAAGGAAAAGCAGCAGAGATGTTTCTATGCAGGGGGGGGAGGGGGGGGGGGTTCTGTGTGAGTCTGTGCATAATGATAAACAGTGACTATTTATTCGACAAAGATTTGTCAAAAAGTGCTGGTTTATCAAAACATTTTCTAAAACTGAAGGGGAGTAGACTTTTCCTCAAAGTATTTTCATCTAATCAGACTGAATTAAAAACTTTGTCCCATTAGTTTAATCCCCATTAACTGTGTTGAAAGGAAATTACTGGTTCAGTGTCATGTATCACATCTGAAGTCACTTTACAAATTTCACCCATCAAACCTACTTATCTAAAACTTTCATTTTACAGTTTTGAATAAACATTAAGTTCAAGTTTAGCTCAAATCGTAACCATATTTCCCTAATCTGCACTTTATTGTAAAAACTAAGAGTTAATTAAATAAACTTGATTAATAAAAGTCACAATTTAGATGAAACTAGAGAAACTGCATTTCCTGTGAAAATGCAGTGTGAATGCTTATCGCTAAAGAACTTGCTGAAAAACAGCTGAAATTAACAAAAAAAAATCTGAAATGTAGCTGAAAGGGAGAAACAAGCCTAAATTAGCAGAAGAAAGCAGAAAGAACACATATTTGCTGAATTAATTTTAAATAAGCAGAAATGAGCACAAAGAATAGGGAATTAGTTTTAAAAAAAAAACTGAAATGAGCACAAAAAATACTAGATGAAAAGTAGATGAAAAATCAGAAAGAAGCACAAACCACCAGAAGGAAGTGAACGGAGCTGTAACGAGTTAAAAAAATGTGGAATTAGCTGAAAAACTAAATTTAGCACAAAACAGCTAAAAAGTAGCTGAAATAGCAGAAACGTAAAGGAGCATAACAAGCTGAAGTTGGCATAAAGAAGTTAATTAGGTTCAAAGAAATTACCACAAAAACTTGAATTTATCTGAAAACAGCTGAAATTAGCTTAGAAATGTTAAAATAAAGTAGCTGAAGTAGAAAGATCACATTTGCTGAAAGAAGCAAAACTGTATTATTTCCCTTCCCTTCACACATGTGCCTGTTGGTGCTGCCAGGCCAGCACTGTACATAAGAAATTATTCCATTATTATTAATAAAAATGATTATTAATTAGAATAATTGTGCTTCTGAGCACAAAAAATGGAAATGATCTGAGAAAAGCTGAAATTAGCAACAAAAAATCCCTGCTGAAAAGTAACAAAAAAAGCAGAAAGAAGCTGAAAGAAGAACATTTTTGAATTAATTTTGAATTCATACGCATTCACAGCGCAACAATGGCACATTAGGAGCTTAATTATAAAGAACCAAACTAAAACAAACTAAATGATCAATAAAATGAACACAAACATTTATACTTTTCCTTCTTTAAACATTTAAAAAATAACTGTTATTTTTATGCATTTGACCTCAGCACTGCAGTGCTCTTTTTCTGTGTTTTTCCTCACAGCTGACAGTTTATTTTAAGCCAGTTTAAAATTAGTAAGGACCAGCCTGTTGGACGACAGCCATTATTTTCTATCTGCAAACATCTGGCCTCATATTCACCTCTGACTTGAGTCAAACACTCCCAGAACTTATCGTACAGGCTGCTCGGACCAAACGCTGAGGGATGGAGCGAGGACGTCATAAATGTTTGAAATGAATTGTGTGTGTGGGGGGGGGGGGGGGGATTCATTGTGAAAATTTGCAGGAATGTGGAGGTTTGTATCTCATTATCAGACAAGAGTTCAAGCTTCTCCTTATCTGTTCTCAGCCAACAAAAGAAAAATGAGTTGAAACCCCAAGACTCCCAAAGCCTATAGATTAACGAATGTCTCATAGATTTACAGATTATATTTTATGCTTGCAAATTAGTCCAGGTTTAACCATTTTGTTGCTGTAAATTTTTCATTTTCATTTAACCAAACACTAAGAATAATTTCTTATTTACAGTGCTGGCCTGGCAGCACCAACAGGGTCAAGGGAAGGGAAACAATACAGTTAGAAAAACAAGAAAACAAGAAAAATGCAGTGTGATATCCAACACCTATGTGCAAGACTACTGTATTTTCCAAAATACAAGTTAAATTTTTTTTTTGGCATAATTTGCATGCCCTGCGATTTATAGGCCGAAGCGATGTATTTATGGATTTTCCCCCATATTTATAAACCAATTTTTGGCTGAGATATGACTGTTGTCATTCATTTCTGACTGGAAAAAAATTAAAGCAGTACCACTTTCAGCCACTTGGTGGCAGCAGAGTAGTAGTAGCAGTATGGCACTCCGTTCTATCATGTAATAAGTAAACGTGGCTATAATGACAAATTCAAAAAAGTTCAAGACAAAAACAACTGGACTTTATTTATTATACTTTATACTTTATTGTTTTTTTTTCTTGAACTTTTTTGAATTTACAATGTCCTGGATGACTGAGAATCTTCACCAGCTTTTAATGATATAATCAGCTTGCCATACACTCCCCACCTTCCTTCTGCTTGTTGCTTGGAACCATCAAACCAGCTGCACCACCACGGCGAAATGCATCTAATTTGCATTTATTAAGCAAACGTTAGACTGAGACAAACATTTACGATAATTTCGAGCAAACAAATAACTGTTTTTAAGTGTTAATCTTGTTAAATTCTTATTAAAGTCCTCCCGTGCACGCTCCCGCGGCTGCCATTTGGCAGCCCATCGATTTTTGACGTATAATAGGTGCGATGTATACGGCTAAGTGACATATTTATAAATTTTTCCACTTTATTAGACAAATATGGACTGATGTAACTTATAGGGCGAAGCAACGTGTACTGCGGAAAATACGGCACATTTCTAGAACTGTAGACTATCATTAAACTTCACATTCATTTGGATCAAGCTAATTTTTTTCCTTGTATTTTCTGCTTTCAGCACATCTGCGTCATCAGCAAAACTGGAATGGCGAAATACAAGATTTAAGTATTTGAATCACGAATACAAAATGTTTTACTTTTACAAATTACCCTACTTTGTCCACTGAAGTATTACCATTTTAGTACTGCATTTATTCACATGTGATTCATTAAAATGTGCTTCAAACTAAAAGTTGAACAAGTGTGCACTGTTGTTTGTGGGTGGTCTGCTTCCACGTGTGACCAAACACACACACAATCTGAATTACTTTGATGCTGTTCATCCCTGCTTTGTTGTGCTTCACTCGGGGACAAAAAAATGAAAAGAAAGAAAATCTGCCCATCAGGACAGGACGTTGGTGACAGATGGAGAGAGCTTATGGACCTTGGCATCCTCCTGCTCGGAAGACGCCTGCTCTGACTCATGGAAAACACACGGAGGACACCATGGTGGCCGGTGAACGTCTTCGTACCACGCTGTATCTGCTTTGTCAACCACGTACCTTTCTACAAATCAGAACCAAACACTCGTGGATCAAACTGTTATTTATATAGTTGCTGTTGTATGTTCAAATACCCAGACATTTCAGAGGTTGTTATACTGAAAAACATCAGATTTAGCTTGTCATACCAAAATGAACAATTAACTGATCTGAGACATTTATTGAACCATCTTCAAAACATTATAATCCAAGAAAAATGTGTGCTTTTAGTAAAAGAAAACATGATGTAATACATTTACTTACCACACTCTAATTTTTACCGTATCAGTGAGGGAGTATTTGCTAAACCATCATCAGATTAAACTTCATCTGTCATTACTGTCTAAATCTAAATTATAGTTGTTTAATATGAAGATTTGCTGTTGCTGAAATGGAAAAATTCACAAAAACGTCAATGTTAAAAACCAACAACATTACAACCATGTGCTACATGTTTTTTTTTTCTTTATAGGTTGAAAGAAAAACAATAAACTCTCATCAAATCGTATGGCAAGATTTATAAACCAGTCCACGTCAGAGCTCTAAATTGTGCTTTTTGAATCCATGATCAACTTTTGACACACACAAAAACTTTTTTTTTTTTGTGGAAAATAAAGTTGGGAGAGCTAGATGTCAGCTTTAACCACTTAAACTTTGATGCTGTAAATTTATTCTTCAATATATAAAAATAAACTTACACTCTGAAAGTAAAATAATTTCAACATGACATCAATGATATATAGAAAAGTCTTAACGCTTTTTATTTTTAAAATGAAATAAATTGTAAATTCACTGTACTTATATATCACCTTTCTATCTTTTCAAGACACTCAAAGCTTTTTACACTACACTCTGTGTCCTCATGTACCCATTCATACAGCACTCTACTAAATCTATACAGAGAATAATCAGTGCTTTATCACATTCATGCACTGATGGGACACATAGGAGGAAGTGAGGGGTTCAGTGTCTTGCCCAGGGACGCTTCGGCATGTGACTGCTGGTGGAATCAAACCCCCAACTCTTGCATTGGAGGACGACTGCTCTAACCACTCAGCCACAGCCGCCCCAAAGTAATAGAATAAGAAAGAATAGCGTTGTACATTATTTGAAAATGGCAGTGAATGAAAAATAGTATCTGAAAAACAAGCTAAGCTAAATGGCAAGAACATTGCCAAAAAAATAAGCTAGCGTTACTCCCTAAACAAATGATTTAACTTTTTGACCACTTCTTTTGTTTTAAACATTAAGTTTTTAAAAAGCTTTTATTTTCCTAAAAACACATTGATTCGAGGCCCATTGCTGTGATTAAACGGATGCTCTGTAAACTAAATGGCCTGGCTCAACACAAGCCATGTCTGTCAAAACCACTTCTTCAACATCAACACACACACACACACACACACACACAAATGGTTTGTGTGTTTTTCTGCTATCTTTGGTGTGACTGAGAGTCATTTGTGCATGTTGACAGAGCAGAACATGTTCCACTTTACGAGGCACGTTATCATGATGCCAAACACTTCACACTTTCAGTCACCTGAAACTCTAAACAGCCACATGGGCTTGAAGATTTAAATCTGATTAAATGAACATTAAAATTTGGTTATGCTTACATTTTCTGAGGGTCACTTGAATCGCACATGTATTGACAGATTAATGTGCATTCGACCAATATGAATTGAAAATGTATTGAAATGCTCAACACGGGTCATCATGTGAGGTTTTACTGAGCCTGCTACACTATCGTAAGTTTCTGCTGCATTTTCCCAACATGTCTCCAAGCCAGAGATAGTATTCCAGCTCCAGCTGTGATATAATGCCTCTCTGACTTTAATGACCTGATAAATAGACTGTTTAGAAGATACAAGTGAATGCAAACCAAAGAGACATTAGGGGTCCTGACTTAGTATACTTTAATTCTTTAAAATCCTTGAGTGGTAAACATCTTTGCTAAACATTTAAACTATCCTCAAAGCCAGTGATGTTTTATCACTTGTATCAGGTGAGGAGTGTGTAAAAAAAGATGCTTAAGTCATTCAGCAGTCCACTTTTTGCTGTCTGTGCAGTCCAGACTACAAAAACAGTCATTGTGCCGATGGCTGAAGCCCCGCATATCCTTATCATAAAACATCAGCTCTTGTTGTTAACTAATCCCAGCACTAAAGCCCCTCGCAGTGCCCTGGGAACTCTCTGGCTATTGTCCTTCACCTTGATGCAGGGTTTGGTAAAAGCGAGAGCAGACAAAAAGCCTGGCAGGTCTCTCATGCTGTGTCTTTGTAGAGCTTCGTCTGGGGAACAGAAGTTGGGGCCGACTGCAGAAAGCGGGCTACAGGTAAACTGTGACCAACACAAAAGGAACAAAACTGGGATTGTGTGGCTGAATAGCTGCACATCCCTGCATTTGACATATGAAGCTGGTGGTTAGAGATGGAGAGCTGGGATTTGATTTCACCTCACCAGAAAAACACCAAATCTAATCTGTATACCTGGTAATATATGGTTTGTCTGTATGAATGGTTTGACAAAACACCCCTTTTACAAAAGTTGAACTAGAACAAGTATACTGTAGCATCTTTCATCCAGTAAGTTAAAGAAAAAATTGTATGACTTTTTATAACTGTTTATTGTTGTCGCTGTTGTCATCATTCTTTGTTGAAATCAGGTCTCTCTTGTAAATGAGTCCTCGAGGCTCAATGGGATTTACCTGTCTAAATAAAGGTTGAATGAATGAATGAAAAAAGTTTAAAACTGAAACAGCCAGGTGACTATTTTAGCTAACCAGAAAACCAAAATAAATAAATAAATAAAAATAGAAGCTCAAAAAAAAGAAATACCTGTCAACAATTTTAGCTTTTACTACACAATGAGCATGATTGAAAACACACAAAAGTGTAAAACACTTTAATATATACACTTATAATATTAATACTATAATATTATATATATGTGTGTATGTATGTATGTATATATGTATATATCCATCCATCCATTATCTTTACCCGTTTATTCCATTTTGGGTCACGGGGGTCACTGGTGCCCATGTCCAGCAATCACTGTGCGAGGGGCGGGGTACACCCTGGACGGGTCGCAAGTCCATCACAGGGCCACATAGAGACAAACGAGACAAACAACCATTCACTCTCTCACTCACACCTAGGTACAATTTAGAGTTACCAATCAGCCTAACATGCATGTTTTTGGACTGTGGGAGGAAACCGGATTACCCAGAGAAAACCCACGCATGCACGGAGAGAACATGCAAACTCCACCCAGAAAGGCCCCTGGACCGGGGTTTGAACCAAGGACCTGCTCGCTGAGAGGCAGCAGCTCTACCAGTTGCGCCACCGTGCTGCCCATATGTATATATATATATATATATATTTATATATGTGTGTGTGTATGTATATGAAAAACCGCAATAGAGCGAGTCTGCGAAAAACGAACCACGAAGTAGAGTTGCATTCAGGCCTAATAAATCCAAACCGGCCCGGCTGTGTATATTTTTTTTGAGCCCAACCCAACTAATTAATTGTAATTAAAGGCCTGAACCCCCCCCCTCCCCCCCCCAAAAAAAAAAAACAAAAAAAAAACTAATTTTATTTTTAATTAAGCTTTTACTGCTTTTGTAAGCAAATCAGTTTGACATGACAGTTAACAACATATTTCAAAGAAAGTAAGACATAAGATTTCTTGTTTATTAACAAGTCACCAAATGGATATTAACATCCAAAACAAATAGCTTAAAATAATCAACTCTAAAGATGAAGATGTCTATTTTTTTTTTTTACCTCTTTCAACCAACCTGTCAGCAGATGCGCAGTTGATGATCTCGACCTGTTATCTATCTAAAGTATACCTGGAATTTTTTTTCTCTCTTTCAACCGGCTGGTCGGGATCAATTGCAAATCTTCAGAGGTGTGATAAGAGCAACGGGTGGGCGGGGCCACATCACAATTGTTGCGCAATGCGCTGCAGCACTACTCTCTCTTTTCACAGTCTGATTCACTTCTGCACTTTATTTTATTTCTTTCCTCATCCTCAGTAAACTTACTGCCTCCTCCTCTACAAGTATATTAACACGATTATATATTGTGCATTCTTATTTAGTTTTCTTTGTGCTGCTTGATTCGAATTTCCGGACGAGTCGGGTCAAGCTGGGGGCTTAGGCCAAAATCATACATCTGCCGCGAAGTAGCGAGGGACTACTATAAATTATATATATACAGTATATATATATATATATATATATATATATATATATATCCTTTCTGTGTGGAGTTTACATTTGGGTAAAGAAGAGGGATTGATTACATTTTTTACACCAATTTCAAATAGGTGCTGCTCTATAAATTCTTACACAGTTATCACTTTCAGAACAGAGCCATTTTTCAAGTGGGAATTTCTGCATAGCCTCAGAAATCTTTTAAAAGCTCTTATCGCCAGTTCTTCTCTTTATCAAACGTTTTAAAATTGCAGCACTTTCACCTAAAAGAATGGATTTTCTATTCCATTTGAAATAATTGTTGTTGTAGGTTTTAAGTGCTAGCATTTGCTTTGGTTTTGAAAACATTTCAATACTTGG